CGCTCCTTCTTTCTTAGAGTCAGCGCTGCAGCAGCAGCAGCAGCAGCAGCAGCAGCAGCAGCAGCAGCAGGAGGAGTTTGAGCAGCAGCAGGAGTTTCCCGTGGGCACAGCTGTGTGTGGGGTTGCTCTGGGGTGTATAGGCAGCTACGTGCTGGCGGCGCCGCGGTGTATAGCCACCATAAACCCTCAGTTTTCTTTTGAGGGTGCATGCACGCTGCAGCTGGATTTGGTGCTGCTGCAGCAGCTGCTGCAGCAGCTCGAAGCAGCAGCAATTCAGGTGTCTTCGCACCTACGTATATATATACATGGTGCAGCAGCAGGAGCAGGCCTGCTGCTAGCGCAGTATTGTGCTGCTCGTGGTGCTGCTGTTGCTGCTGCTTGCCGCTCACTGCAGCAGCAGCAGCTGCTGCAGCACGTAGGGGTCCGGGAGACTTATTTGCTGCCTCCTCCTCCTCCCACCGAGCAGCAGCAGCAGCAGCAGCAGCAGCAGCAGCAGCAGCAGCAGCAGGTGGTGCTGCAGCAAGAAGTAGATGTTCTGGTGTATACGCAGCCTGTTGACCCTAGAGAGCTGCCGCTGCAGCAGCTTTGTCTTGGTGGTTTGCTGCTGCAGCTGGGCTTTGAAGAGTTGCTGCTGCAGCAGCTGCTGCAGCAGCAGCGCCCCGATGCTCACTGCGCCGCAATCTCTCTCTCATCCCTGTGGAAGCAGCAGCAGCAGCAAGACAGGCAAACTGCTGCTGCTGCTGCTGTTGCTGCAGCAGCAGACCCAACAGCAGCAGCAGCAGCAGCAGCAGCAGCAGCAGGACCTAGTCTTTCTGAGTGGTGCCGCAAAGCTGCGGGGCTGCTGCAGGAGGATTGGGCCCCCCAGGCACCTGCTGCTCTGCTGCATGCATCGCAGCAAGATGCAGCAGCAGCAGCAGCAGCAGCAGCAGAAGCATATGAGCTGCTGGCGGATCCACGCCGTGTTGGTGACGTTGTACTCTCCCTAGACAACCTACCACGCACTCTTGCTGCTGCTGCTGCTCCTCCTGCTGCTGCTGCTGCTGCACCTGCTGCTGCTGCACCTGCTGCTGCTGCACCTGCTGCTGCTGCAGCTGTTACTGCTGCTGCAGCCGTCAAGGTGACTCCGCAGCCAACGCAGTGGCAGCAGAATATGCAACAGCAGCTGCAGCAGTACGACGAGCAGCAGCAGCAGCAGGCAGAGGAAGAGCAGCAGCAGCAGCAGCAGCAGGAGCTGCAGCAGCTGCAGCAGCAGCTGGAGGAGACCCCCCACTGGTCGCTGTCTTCGGCTGCTGCGCTGCGGTGCTGGGAGTCTGAGGGTGCATGCACTGTGCTGCTAGTAGACGCAGCAGCAATAGGCAGCAGCAGCAGCAGCAGAAGCAGCAGCAGCAGCAGCAGCAGCAGCAGCAGCAGTGTTGCTGTCTCTGCTTGCCGCTGGCTGCTAGGCGAAGGGGTGTCGCATGTGCTGCTGCTGACGCCGCTGCTGCAGCTGCCTGCTGAGCTGATGACGGAAGAGGGAGCTGCGTTGCTGCTGCAGCACGACACCCAGCAGCAGCAGCAGCAGCAGCAGCAGCAGCAGCAGCAGCAGC